GAGGTCACAAGCCGGGTTCAGTAACTAGCGGACAGCGCGGTACAAGGGGTCAGGCAGAAGGATGGTCAGGCAAGCCAAGGGTTAAGCAGGATACAATCAGCAGGGTCAGGTACAATGCAGAGGTCGGCAACGGAGTAACACAGGATCAGGTATCAGGACAGAGCACAGAAGACCAAACGGCAATTGACATACCTCTAATCCAGTTTAAATAGCCCGCCCTGTGCTGTCATTGGTGCCAGGCACGTGTCCGCGATCGCGAGTGCGCATGCGCGGCCATCGCGATCGCCCGGGTCCCGCTGCCCGCTGATTCGATTGCATCAGTGTCCTGCACATGCGCCGTCCCCGGCGTATCGCGGCAGGGACACTGATCCCTGACAGAGGCCCTAACCTGTTAACAAATTACCTCATGGTCTTCAGCCGTGAGCAGGGGTGTATTTGCCACGGGGGAAACAAGGCATTTGCCTAGGGTGGCATTTTTCATGGGGGCAGCGCCACCCCTGAAAGAGAGAACACACATGGCAGGTGATTGAGAGGCACTGCATGAGCTCCATCAGCGTATTCCACCTGGAAAAGATGTCCATCCGGGAAGAATACGGTGATAGTCCGGTTGGAGCTCATTCTCTCAGCGGATTCACAAAACCAAAAGCTGCTACTTAAAACAGCTCACACATCTGCCTCCTATCCACCAAGCCCACTTAAGCCTCCAGCGCAGCGTAGTGCCCTTGCCTTGCCTTGCGTTCTACGCTACGCAAATGGTGTAACCAAACCCTGCCCACGGGTACCTGTGATACATGATGCTCACAGACAGGAAACCCAGCTTGTGCTATGCAGGGAGGACCAAAATCTTCACCACGCCGCACCACTGATTTTATCTCTCACAATCTTTTTATTACTTTGCAAATTAAGATTCTGTAGAAATGAACTGCAATCTGGCCGGTGCATTGCATCACATGGGGAATGGGTCATACCATTTGGCACCGTCTCCCCCCTGTCTGCTGCATAGACCAAGTATCCTCTGGCTAGAAAGGGTGCAGATATTAGGAATATCTGGGATAATGTCTTGTGCTCAGACCAGAGGGGAAGGAGAAGTCACCCAGCAAACTATACAGATGGTACCGGGTCTGCTGATGGCGGAGAGGGTGATGGCACCAGCTTTATTCTAGGGCTAAGGGGACATGCAGCACCCATGTGCTATGCATATTATACAGGAGACATAGCTGTGTAATTGTATGATTGATGGGTTACTGACAAACATTGATTGGCACTTTACAATTGAACAATTTCCATATCATAGATAAATATACAATATACTGTATATATGATCATTGATATATATTTAATCGTGAGAGAGTTCAATGATTTTTTTATATATATATATATAAAATTATATATAAACACACAAATGATCATTGAACTCTCTCGCTCTCTCATTGTGTGTGTGGGGGGGGGGCACATCATTTTTGTGCTGCCTAGGGCAGCACAAAACCTAAATACACCACTGGCCGTGAGGGCTCAGACTGTTCACTGTTCGTTATTTTATGCTAAAGAAATTTGCTTTATGGTCAAAGTGTCAACCTATTTAGAAAGTCCAATCACAATACTTCCAACGCATAAGTTCCTGGAAATGGCTGTTTGATGTTGGTGGGTGCTGCAGTCAACACTGGCTGTGAACCATAGGCATTCAAAGCGAAAAATATGTCACCCTGGTGTGCTGTTGACATATTTTTCACTTTGAAAGCCTATTTAGAAAGTCAGCTCATGGCCTTCAACTGTGGGAGGTTCAATACTAGCACATACCTAAGGAGAGGATTGTCTTCCTACAGCTATGTGTTGCATGTTTTGGAGTACCCCATACCCCCTCTCCTGTTAGTAGTTCTACCAAAAAACTCCTAGACAACCCCTAGACTTATTACTGGAGCTGGTGTGAATGGACTACTGCTTGGGTGATCGCCAGCCTGTGCACTATTTGGGAAAAAGTCAGTGGAAATCAGCGATCCCTATGCGGGTATCCCTACAGATTTTTGGAAAGTCGATCTAGGCACATCATTCAGTCCAACCCTGTGAACTGCTACACGGTGTAGGTTAATATACCAGAGCTGTAACTTACATTCTTTGCCCAGTAGATGGTAACATTGCTGCACATAAGGTAGACACTGGACCCAACCTCAGCTGGAATGGCTTCTACAACAATTATTTTATGTGTTTTCATGTACTAATAGAGACACACATAATGATTTCACATGTACCATGGAAGTCCCATTTCTCAGGTTTTTTGTTTGCTAAGAGTAAAAGATTACAAAGCAGAGAAATGAACACAGGCCCAGAGGTCCTCAGACATTACCAAGGACTTTATGACTTCATTATAAGGGTAAACCTTTAATTTCCAGTCCCAGAGTTGCCATATATGAGTTTCCAAATTTAAACATTTACAAACTAACTCAATCACTTACGAATTTCCATAATCAACACATTAACAATTAACAAGAGACATTAATTTCTGTTATTCTGGAACAGCTATTAGCACAGACTCTTGCTGCAGAACCTGACGATTAAGGGGTATGTTTATAAGGCAGAGAATCTGACATTCAGTAAACTCGCTCTGCAAATGGATCTTGCAGGTACATGGCAGTGATTGATTCTCGACTAGAGTATGTTTGTGGAAAATCACATTCACTAATTTATGAATAGACCCCCAACTGTCTCTCTTTTTTAGCATTTTTGTCTGAGTATAGACCAATGTTTAGCGCAAGCAGTGTTCTCAGAAGGGTCTAATTAAACTTTTATATAGGGCAGGGGTTGGCAACCCATTGATTGCAATCTACTGGTCAACCATGTGCAGGTGACAGGTAGATCGCTTTTGCGTTCCTACCTTACTGACTCGCAAATGCTCCTCCCCCAGGGTGGCAGAGTGGCGCAGGGAAGTGATGAGCTCAGGTATGTTGGTCACCTGAGTTCCGAGGTTGGGAAGCTGTCAAAGCCAGTCCTAGGCAGCAGAGGCTTTCCTGCCCCGCAGCACACCCCTTGCTTAAATGCAGCTGTGAGGCAGAAAATGCTTTTTGAAGCCTATGAATTGCTGTCAGCTTTGACATCTTTCAAGCGGGAGAGCTTTGGCAGGTTTGGGTTTTTGTCCCAACAGGCCTGAGCTCATTTCTTGATTGTACTGCACTGATCCCAATCAGCCCTCCTCTCTAGTCCATACAAGGCTCCTGTGGGTGACATCATGTGGAATGGGTAAGAGAACATGGCCAGTGGGGATCAGAGTACCAGAACAAATTGTCACAGCAGCTTCCCTGTGCTGTTCTGCATCAGGAAACCGCTTCTTTGCCCTCCTGCCCCCCCTGTAGTGTGCCCCCCTGTAGTGTGCCCTCCTGACTCCCTTAAAGTGTGCCCTCCTGACTCCCTTAATGTGTGTCCTTCTGACTCCCCTGTAGTATGCCCTCCTGACCCCCTAGTACTGTGCCATTCTGACCCTCAGATCCATGCTCTCCTGACCCCTGGTACCATGCCCTCCTTGTGACGATCGCGCCGTCAGACCCCAGCCCTTCTCAGCAAACTCTTGACTGAAGGACTAGCCAATCTAAAACCGCGCTGTCACGTGCGTAACAATGCCACGCCCAGCTGCACCCTGCACAAAGATATTCCAGCTAATGGACCACAACCTGTGTGCCTGCAGCCTGGGAGCGATTGTTACTGGGTCAGGTTAATTACGCAATTAACCCTTCACCCTGCCACCACCTCCTTTTTGAACAGAGAAATAGGAAACTCGGCAATATCAGCAATAACACTATGATGTTTGCATAAGCGTTGGTATACCACTGCCACCGCAGGCAGCGATATACCGAAGTTTAAAGCACACACACAGTAGCGCTCTTCAGAGGCAGGGGTGCTTAGTTTGCATTAAAGAGCTTTAGAAACAGTTCAACACTTCCAGAAAGTAAGATTTTTATTACTAAAAGGTCAAAAGGGTGTAAGCCGTGTACCAGGGTGGGCTCCCCAGGATAGAGTGAAGTCACGAACGAGGAAAGCAACCCCAACACCAGCTTTTGCCACAACAGAATTTTACTTAGATGTGGCAAATAAGCACAACCACAAATGCTGGAAACATACAATAAATTTACATACATCCAGCCCAAAGGCTGAGACCCTTGTGCTGCACAGCACGGCGCCTTCTGATGGATAAAGGTAGAAAGTGAAGTAATTTACCTACTGGCGGGCACAAATAAGCTGCCACACCTTACCTGTTATTACCCTAAAAGAGCAGGAATCAGTGTATGGGTGTACGGTATGGGCTAGCCTGCGGTGCAGCACAACAGCTTACAATCTTACACAAATCTACAGTATTCCCCCTCCTATAACTGGTCCTGTAGCACGTGCCTGAGTATTCCTTCTGAGCAAATGCCAGACTGGTTTGAGTTTGTAGGACTTTATCAGCTCTCCAATGTGAAATGTCACTTTAAGTTGTGGAGTCCTTCCAATAATCAGTAACAACACTTCTGGCCTGACACAAACAGAGACCTTAACCTCCCTAGCGGTATGATTATTTCAGATTTTTGGTGCTGAAAGCGGTACCATTATTTTGCATGGAAATATGTAGTATTTTTTTTTTATTGTAGGCTGTAATTTTTAGGAATAACTCACTGAAATCTGTCCGAACAAGAGTCTATTAAACATCCCGTGTATGATAAAATTTGAAATACGAAATCATAAATTATAATTTAATAAATAATCATAAAAAATAATATAATAATAATACATTTAATTCAATAATATAATCAAACCGAAAACACTGAAATTTGAAGTAGAGCGCCAAGTTCGTACATTGCTGAGCAAAGTCGCAAAATCGTTTTCAGTGTCTGATGACGAATTTCCCCACGAATCATTATCACTCAATTCTGCAAGTGGTTCCGATTTACTATCGCTGTTCTCTAGCTGATCTAAACCCGCTTTTGACCTAAAGGGACACTTTTTGGACGCCATGGACGTTTCTCAGTTTCCAGGCAGAAAGAACAGACAAAAGGCAGGCAGGTCACAGGACAAAGCACTAGGGACAATATGTATGTGAAATGGGTTGAAACAGCAATGTTTTACTATGAAAAATTTGTTTTGAAAAAAAATGACATTTTTTAAAATTTTCAAATTTCCTGCCGCTGCCACCGCTCGTACGTCCCGACGTCACAGGGACCGGAACACACAAGCCGGATGCCGGCATCGGCCGGAGGAGATGGCCGGGGACGCTGAAGGGGACACATTGCGGGAGCGAAGGACAAGGTAAGCTCTGCAGGGACTCCCTATGCAGCGCCGCATGGCAAGCCCGAGTGTAGCTCGGGGTTACTGCTTTTGGTACTGAACTTTTACCCCGAGCTACACTCGGGAATACCGCTAGGGAGGTTAACTAACTAACTATAGGCCTGGACTCAGTCTCAAGGCGCCAACACTGAAATGAGGTGCGTGCACGATCTTACCGACCCGGGTCTGCTTTGCATCCGCTGGTGACTCTAAACAGAACAAATGTCTCTCCAACAAGCATGCAGTCTTGCCGTATATGTTGCTTAGTTCCTCTGCTCTCATCAGCCTTCCTGGCAGTAATCTCATCAGCTTCCTGGCAGCAATCTCATCAGCATTCCTGGCAGCAATCTCTGGTTACTGAGGGGTGCTCTCACACCTGAATGTCATCAGATTCTCAGCTCACACAGCCCCCCTCATTCACCATTCTCCAGAACATGGCTGCTTTCTCTCCTCTATGTGAAAACTCCACTTCTCTCCTCTATGTGAAAAACAGTGACATCTTGTGGCTAAACTGCAGAATGTCAGTCAAAACATTTAATTTACTCCACAAGCAGTATTCAAACAATGAGAGCTGTTTCCCCATCTCGCAAGGGTGCAATAAAAATATTTACAGAAAAGATGTAGCCATATATATATATATATATATATATATATATATATATATATATATATATATATAAATATACAGAAAACAATAGCACAGCAAAGAGAAAACAGAAAGAAGTTTAGAGGGATAAAGTACTTGCCGTCAGCCTTGGGTTAAGCAGATCAGGTTTCAGAGCCAAAAGGGTCTTATCTCCCAAAGTTAGTTCCGATGTTAAAAGGGAGATTCTTCAACTTTCTCTCAATTCAGCTTTGCTTACCTTCAAGCATCACAGCCTTTATCTAGGAACTCAGCAGGGTGTCTCCCTGAAGCAGAGAACCAATCGCCTCATTTGGGCGGGTGTGGCAGGCCAAGCTATGACCAAAAATCCCTCGTAGCTTATTTTATGGTTCATAACTTACCCTGGATACATATAACATTCTATCCACAAGTAGATTAATAAGCAGAATCTTCTGCTGAACGTCTACATATGAAATATGAGATACCTGCTTGGATGGTTAAGGAGATATAATTTCTGTTCTCCTGTATATGCCAGCTAGGGGGTGTAATATATCAGGCGACTTGTCTTAAAGTGAGCTGTCTGAATATGTGCTCTCGTTTATGTAATTATGTCCTATTTGAAGATATAAATTTATATGGAAAAGTGAGTTTTTAAATGTAAGTCTGTTTTTACGACTACCTGGAATGTCTTTGAGGCTCCGTGAGGGCTCGGTTTATGGTCTTACGATATCCCAGATTGCGAAGCTAACAGGCATCTAGGCACCAGCTTGGCTGGGGTTTTATAGACATGATGCCCTCCCAATGAGTTTGCTGCCTGTGATCTCTGCAACAGACCACATGTCACTCAACAGAGAGGGAGGGGGATGTCGGAGGAATCTTGGAATTTGGAAGAGAGAGATACAATATGGAGGGATTTGGAGCAAAATAGATGACCGCGTCCATCTCTTTGTGCATGATTGCTACACTCCTGACCCCCTGTACTGTGCTCTCCTGACCCTCAGTATATGCCTTCCTGACCCCCAGTACTGTGTCCTCCTGACCCCCATGTACGAGCCCTCCTGACTCCCCTGTACTGGGCCCTCCTGAGCCCCCTGTACTGTGCTTTCCTGACCTCTGTGTACATTGTCCAGCTGACCCTATGTCCTTTGCCCTGCTGATGCCCTGTTCTCTGCCCTGCTGATGCCCTGTTCTCTGCTCTGCTGATGCCCTGTCCTCTGTCCGGCTTTTCCCTGTACACTTCCCTACCTACTACTGACCTCTCCTGACTTCTGTACGCTGTCCTACATACTACTGACCTCTGTGCACTGTCCTGCCTTTTCCTGTCCTCTACTGACCTCTGTACACTACCCTCAGTGGCATCACTATGGGGGTGTGGAGGGTGCAGTCCACACCCAGGTGACACTAGCCAAGAGGGTGACACTATCCTGAGGGCGTTGATGAACCACAGGGCCTTATTTCAGATGGAAAGTAGCTTACAGAGTTTCACCACCTCCAGCGCTAGCCTTGTGTTATCCTCAGGCTCTCACTGGATGCTGTCACTTCTAAATACAGAAGCCCGGCATTTAGACGTGACAGAGCAGCTTTCGGGGTGTTTTGGCTGTACTAAATCCTCTCCTCCCAGGTCTCCTCTGAGTGTGATCTCGGGGGCTCTGGGTGCTTATTATGGCGGGTGGGCATCCATCCAGGCCTGTTGCCAGACTGCCTATCAAGATCCTGATTCCAACAAACCATTCAAGTTAGTTCCAATGCCATCCAGATCCCCCTACTGCTTTCTCTCACTCCACCACCCCCCTCTCTCTCACCCCCCCTCCCCCTCACCCCTTTCTCTCCCTCCCCCCTCTCTCTCTCACTCCTCTCTCTCTCACTCCCCCTCACCCCCCTCTTTCTCTCTCTCTCACCCCCCTCTCTCTCCCCCCCCCCACCTCTTCCCCCCCTCCTTCTCTCCCCTTCTTCCATTTCTCTCTTTTTCCATCTCCCCTATCTGTCTCTCTCCTTCCTATTCCTGTCTCTCCTCCCTCTTCCTCCCCCACCCCCTTCTCTCTCTATCCCTCCATCCCCCCTGTTAGTTACTAATAGTTTCTGTAATATTTCAGGTTCTCAGTAAAAAATGTGGTGTCAGTAGGTTTTCCCAGAGTAAAAAAAAAAGTTGTGGGGGGTTGGCAACCCTGACAGGAAGGAGATGAGTGGGAGCCAAACGGCTGCACAAGGCATTTATTCCCTCAATCATTGGGCATCTTTACTGTACTATGTTAGCAGCAGGCACTGCCTAGAGCCCCTATAAGCCATACCCAATTCTTTGCTACAGTGTGTTTTGTCTGGTATTAGGGCCCAAATTATGATCTTGCACACAGGCCTACTTCTTTCATAAAAACTCCCCTGGTTATGTTATAGTGATGGCTGCTGTGCATAATGGCAGGCTAGTGGCGGGGGTGATGGCAGCACTGTGGCAGGCTAGTGGCGGAGGTGATGGGAGCACTGTGGCAGGCTAGTGGCGGGGGTGATGGGAGCACTGTGGCAGGCTAGCGGCAGGAATGATGGGAGCACTGTGGCAGGCTAGTGGCGGGAATGATGGGAGCACTGTGGCAGGCTAGTGGCGGAGGTGATGGGAGCACTGTGGCAGGCTAGTGGCGGAGGTGATGGGAGCACTGTGGCAGGCTAGTGGCGGAGGTGATGGGAGCACTGTGGCAGGCTAGTGGCGGAGGTGATGGGAGCACTGTGGCAGGCTAGCGGCAGGAATGATGGGAGCACTGTGGCAGGCTAGTGGCGGAGGTGATGGGAGCACTGTGGCAGGCTAGTGGCGGAGGTGATGGGAGCACTGTGGCAGGCTAGTGGCGGGGGTGATGGGAGCACTGTGGCAGCCTAGTGGCGGGGGTGATGGGAGCACTGTGGCAGGCTAGTGGCGGGGGTGATGGGAGCACTGTGGCAGGCTAGCGGCAGGAATGATGGGAGCACTGTGGCAGGCTAGTGGCTGGGGTGATGGGAGCACTGTGGCAGGCTAGTGGCGGGGGTGATGGGAGCACTGTGGCAGGCTAGTGGCGGGGGTGATGGGAGCACTGTGGCAGTGGGGGGGTGATGGGAGCACTGTGGCAGTCTAGCCAACCCTTGATATAAGGGAATCAGGACCTTCTTTCTCCTGCAGGTGATCCCTCTACTGATAACTAAAGATCTATATAGAGGAATCAGGATCTCCTTCTGCTGGTGATCCCTCTACTGATAACTAAAGATTATATAGAGGAATCAGGATCTCCTTCCTGCTGGTGATCCCTCTACTGATAACTAAAAAATTATATAGAGGAATCAGGACCTCCTTCCTCCCGCTGGTGACCCCTCTAGTGATAAATAAAGATCTATATAGAGGAATCAGGACCTCCTTCTGTGTGCCCTTTAGAAGATTTTGCATATGCATTATTTTTTTTTACCGATCACACTATAAAAAGTAAGAAATAAATGTAAAGAAAAAACAGAACAAAATGTATGAACTGCAAATTAACCCCTAGCCTACTGGGCACTTATATCCTCTTCCTGCCCAGGCCAATTTTCAGCTTTCAGAGCTGTTGCACTTTGAGTAACAATTGCACGGTCATGCAACACTGTACCCATATGAAGTTTTTATAATTTTTTTCACACAAATAGAGCTTTCCTTTGGTGGTATTTACTCGCCACTGGGTGTTTTATTTTTTGCTATATAAACTAAAAAAGAGCAAAAATTTTGAAAAAAATAATATTTTCTTTGTTTCTATTATAAAATTTTGCAAACAGGTAATTTTTTTCCTTCACTGATGTGCGTTGAGGAGGCTGCACTGATAGGCAGCACTGATGGGCACTGATGAGGTGGCACAGATAGGCAGCACTGATGGGCACTGATTAGGTGGCACTGGTGGGCATTGATGAGGAGGCACTGATGATGTTGCACTGATATGCAGCAATGATGGTCACTGATAGGCAACATTGATGGGCACTGATAGGCAGCACTGATGGGCAACACTGACGGGTGGCGCTGACTAAGCACTGACTGGTGGCACTGACTGGCAGCAGTGCTGGGTGGCACTGATGGGTGCAACTGCTTGAACAGCACTGATGGGTGGGACTAATGAGGGGCACTGATGGGTGGTACTGCTGGGCACTGGTGGGTGGCACTGCTGGTCTGCAGTGCAGGACACTGATCATCAGTGCCGATCTGCTCTGTGATAGTTGCAGGTTATTGGCAGTACTTTCCTCACGCTGTCATGGCGTGAGGAAAGGGCTGCCGATAACCGGCAACTGTATTTACTTCGTGATCTGCTTTGTCATTGGACACAGCTGATCACGTGGTAAAAGGCCAGATGCGCACTGCTGGGGGTGTGCGGGAAGGCGCATTCTGGGAGGACGTCATATAAAGCTGTCATTTGGCTATAGTGCAGTTAGGTGAAAAACCTTAAGGCTTTAGAACCACTTTAAATAACTAATCAGGGAAGTAT